GTTTCTCTCACTGGATCATTTCCCGCAATCCTGCATCCAGATGCTCCCAGCCGCCCTGGCCGGTGTGGCCCGGTGGATAGAGCGTCGGCCTGCAGACGGGAGGATCCCAGGTTGGAGTCTGATCAAGGGCATGTACCTGGGTTGCGGGCGCATCCCCAGTGGGGGGTGTGCAGGAGGCGGCTGATCGATGTTTCTAACTCTCTATCCCTCTCCCTTCCTCTCTGTAAAATAATCAATAAAATATTTTTTAAAATTAAAAAAGGTAAACCCCTTAAAGAAAAGAAAAAGATGCTCCCAATCTATTTCCTCTTCTGAATGTTTGTTTAATTTGATCTTCGCTGCAGTGATTCTTTTTTAATTGAACCATGTGCTCTGCCTCCAGCATGTCCACCTTCCGCTTTTCCGGACGCGGAAAGCTAAACCCTCCCCTCCGATGGGCGGCACAGGGCCGCGCCCTCTGGCACAGACCCTCCCACCTTCCTGTGGGCCCCGTCCCCTCCAGCCCTACCCCGCCCCGGGCTCCTGGCAGCCCCATGCGTGGTGCATGCCCAGGCCCTGAGGCCCCGTCCTGCAGGCCGCCTGCAGGGCACGCACATCCTCGGGAAATGATTCCTGAACACGGACGCCGTCAGCCCAGCGCCAGAGGCCAGCGGCGGGTCAGGAGCGGGCCAGGGCTTGGAGCCTGGTCTGTCTGACTCCAGCCCCACGCTTGGGATTAGAGGATGGGCTGCCTCCTCCTCCTTAGACAGAACTGGTCTGCACCTCCTGCCACTCCGTGGGCTTGGATCGCGCCCCTTCTGGTGCGGAAACCTCGGGGACTGAGCTGGGCGTGAAGGATGGGAGCTCCCGGGGACCCACAGTCACTGACCGGGGATTCTCGCCTGGCTTTCTCTAGGCAGCCAGGGAACGCACCCAGCGCGAGTCAGAATCTCCAGCCCCAACTGTCCCGGAAGAAAGGAGGACATCAGAGGAGGACCGATGGGCACGTGGTAGGCAGAATGCTCTCCTGAGGTCAAGCGTGTATCATCGGCTGCCTGGGATATGGGGCAACAGCTGTGAAGCTATAGATTCACATTGTGGGGACTCGGGAGCGGGGAGCAAGGTGTGCAAGGATAGTCTCCCTGCTACAAAACACCTGTAGGACGTGAACGTTCTTTCTTTCTGTTTTCCTTCCTCCACTTCCCTGTGGCGTGTCCCCTGGCGAGTCAGAGGCACCCACAGTGCCTTGGATAAAGGGGAATGCCTATGGCAGCGATGAAAATAGCAAGAAAAAACTTCTTAGACTTGCAGACTCAATTTTTGAGAGTCAAATGGAAATTCGGAAGAAAGCAGACAACTGAATTTGTGCCATGACAACAGGGAGGGGATGACTCCATCCTTTCTCCTTGGGGGGGTGGGGGCAGAATGGGGTGTGACCCTTCTGGGGAGACGATTTTTCCATGGCTCTTGCAATTTTCTGTGAAAGCTGTGACAGTTCTCATGTGGGGCTAGCTTTTCAAGGGTATTTGTTGCAAACACCCTTGAAAGAGAGAGATATTGACTCCCTCTGGGGCAGAGGGCAAGTTTGTTTTCCAACCTGTATAACAAAAACAAGGTTTCCCTCCGGGGCGAAGGTTGCGCTGTTGTGCTGGTGGCCTCCTTATAAGAGTGGGGCTTTCCTGAGTGTGGAGTTCTGCCGCGAGCCGGTCCATCCTTGCTGTTTCAAGGGACCTGGCGTATATGGCATACTGTTCTTAATATATTTGCTCACCTTCTTGGCACTATGTGTTTTAACCAAGGTCACCTCTGATAAGAAACGACCTAACCTTTGGAATAGAGATTGATAGGATTGGAATCAACTGGTATAAATACAGATATACAAGACAACAAGACACAGAACTTAGATGAAGATCCTAGAGACAGAACTTAGAGACAGAACTTAGGAAGACAGAACCTACACAGAACCTAGAGACAGAGGAACTTTGCTGGAGAGAACATGGCAGAAGATCCTGGACAGAACCTGGCTACAGAACTTGGTTGGAGAACCTAAACCGAACCTGGCTGGAGAACCTATCAAGAGAACATGGACACAGAACTTGGCTGGAGATTGTGGCTAAAGATCCTGGCAAGGCTGCTGATCAACTGAACACTGTCTCTGTGTCATTCCTTCTTCGCCAACTCCATCCGCACCTTTGGGGACCCCTGGACCCGCTGGGGCTGGACCCCGGCAGAGTTCCTCGCTGTGCACAAACCCACTTGTGCATCCACCTGGAGCCAGCGCCAGGGCCCAGATACCTGAGAGAGAAGGAGAACCAAGGGGAACAGGAACCTCACGCTGCCTGCTACCCCAGAAGTCTCAGGTGTCTGTCAACATCTGTGAAACTGCAGCGGGGTAGCATGTATCTTGCAAGTAAGGTAAAACCTCACACCCTTAAGCAGTTCTTCACCTCTCTAGACCTGGGATAGGGGACAGCAGGCCATGTCCTAGGGAGGGGGAGCAGGGTGCTCATCGAAGAGGACAGAGACGGTGTTGAGAGACGGCCAAGGACCCCTGGAGGGCCGCGATCACCTGCAGAGCATTCATTTCCATTGGCAGGAACACTACACATCTGCTGTTTTCCTAGCAATGGCTCTCAGCCAAGAGCGAGATCACTCCCCCAGTGCGCTTTTATTTTATCTTATTTTTAATACGTTTGTATTGATTTCAGAGAGGAAGGGAGAGGGAGAGAGAGATAGAAATATCAACGATGAGAGAGAATCACTGATCGGCTGCCTCCTGCACACCCACTATTGGGGATCAAGCCAGTAACTATGTGCCTTGACGGGGAGTTGAACCGTGACCTTCTGGTTCATAGGTCGATGCTCAACCACTGAGCCATGCTGGCCAGGCCCCCAGTGGGCTTTAAGAAATGTGTAGGGAGGTGGTGGTTGTCAACATAATAGGCCAGCCATGGGGAGACTGCTAACCTAGTGTCTGGGACCAGGTGTGCTGACTGGCCGCACTCGGTGAAGACCCGACCTCCCCCACTCCCAGCAGCATCACCATTAAGACACATTGAGAGCAGGCCTTTCACCATCAGTCACCTGCCGATTGTGAGGAATTTTCCGAAGGAGGCTGCCCTGCCTGAGACTTGGCAAGCTCGTAGTGGAAAGTCCCATGTGGATGCCCTTCCTTTTCAAAGGCCGTAAGCTGAGGAGCATTCCCTGTGTGGAGGTCTTGACACCCCAAGCAGGGGTGGCGAGAGGAGAGGGAAAAGCAGCCACGCGAACCTGGGTGGAGCTGGACGGGGTGGGACGCTCCCTGCCACTCCACCGTGGATCTGAACAGGCTAACAATTTATGCTCATCCATGATTACTCATATATTCTAAGTGGAAAAAATATTCTCGGCATTACCTGGAACCAGCTTCCGTTACTGTGTGGACAGTAGCAGAAGAGCACACATTTATTTCAACTCAGCCAGTATTTCTTGAACGCTGGCTACGTGCTTGGCACTGTGCTAGGTACTGGAGATGTAAAACGGGGAAAACAGACACACACACACACACCTCATTGCCACAGAGCATGTTCACCCAGACACGGGATCTGCTCTTGCATAAGTGCTCCCCGTGGAATTCAGTATCAGTCATCATGCACAGAAAAGCCACCGAAACGACGTTGGAATGTACAGACTCATGTTAGCAGGACACCGATGTTTGCTTCTAGGACCAGGCTCCTCTTGCAGGGACCACAGAGGGAACGATGCAGCTCTCCATACAGACACAGAAAGGGAGTGACTTGACTCCCAATGAGGACCCGAGAATCAGCATAACCTGCCCAAGTGGGAGGAGAGGAGAGGAGAGGAGAGGCTTGTCACCCACACCAGTTTCTACACCCGCCCCCCATTTTAAATTGGTTCACAAGACAGAACAGGTTTCAAGTGTACAACTCAGTAAAACATCATCTGCCCAGGGCATGGTGCACCCATCACTCCAAGCAGACTCTTTCTCTCTACCGCCCCCCTTCGCCCACGTCCACCTACCCCACCCCTGTCCCTCCGGCCTTCTGCCCTCCCTTCTTGAGGGGGTGTGTGTGGGAGAGGCAGAGGCAGGCTAGGATACTGGGCGCAGCACAACATCCATCCACTGAGCACAGTAGCAGAGAGCCTCTCCCAGGGACCCCAGCAATTCTAGAATCCCATGATCCTTTGCTTTCTATTTCAACTTAATTGTGGATATTTATCACTGATCCTCCTGGGTATGAAACTAGGACTGGGAGTTCTTTCAACAGCATGTGCTGAACGTGCGGGTGTGTCTTCCTCTCAGAAAAAGGCATATTTTAAACCCAAATCCCTAGTCCATATAATGAACTAAAGTAAAAATGAGCAACATCCCTTTCAAATGAAAGTCTTGATTGTTAAAAGCAATATACACATATAAGACAAGCTGAAAGGAAACTTAATTTAGTCATTTCTCCCGACTTGATGGTGTTTGCAATTATATGCGGTGCTCTACATTGACATTCATGGTTATAAAGTGGAAAAAACAGCAAAGTACGCACATAAGCCACAGAGGTCCCAAAGGTCAGGCTGTTTATATGTACATCTGGAAATACAGAATAAAGCCATTACAAACTGACAAAAGTCGGGGGGAGGGGAGTTTAACAATGACCACGATTGACTTTTTCTGATGAGCGGCTTCATCTGTGGTGTAAAAATAGCCAGATACCTGCAAGAACAAGAAAATGCTCTAATGAAACAGAAAATGAAGTCGGTACCATTAGCACAAAGACTCAAAGATCAGCATCTTCCAGCAAAAGCTCTTTTCGTCCTCACTTGCTAATCCGCTGCCAGGAAAGGCGAGCTGATGATGGAGTCCTCTCTGACCCAGACGCTTTGCTTCTTCCCCCACCGGTCATGCGCGTCCCATTATGTCACCGTCGCACCCAGTAGGTGCTTTCTCCGGGCCCCGCCCCCAAACAGCACCTCACTCCACGCTCACAGAAAGCGTGTCTTTGACATTTTCTTTGACACGGTCTGTGAGCTGGAGGGTAGCACCTGCAATTTATAGGTGCAAACTGCATGCACTACTGTCTTCTCCCGGAGGGGGCGCTGTGTACTAACTGTCCTGTTTTAGCTTCTGAGGTTTCCTTAAACCAGAGGTCCGGTCGCCAACCTTTGGGACCTCAGGGACGATCAGTGGTCCACGGACCACCGGTTGGCCACCGCTGGCGTAGGGCCCACGTGTGAGAAACAGTTAAGGGGACGCTCCTTAACATCTTTCTGTTTATTCTATTTTATTTTCTCACGCAGGAGAGGTTTCAAGTGCATATACCACATGGCAAGTTGCATCTTCTTTTTAAAATAACATTATTTTTTTAAAATCATCACATTTACAAGAATCAATAAGCAAAATCCTTTCACGTGCACAATAAAATGCAACGGCGGCACGCTTCCTCACAGTGTCATTCCTACCTGGTGGAAAAAGAGGAGGAGATTTTAATTACGATTCCCTTCCCGTTATTATAGGGAACGGAATCGTAATTATTCAGCCGAACGAAAAGCTAATAGACTAGAATCTTAATGTAGCTCCCTGGAATGCACCAGACCTTTTTTTTTTTAAATGACAGGTACTCATTTGGTAGGAATGCTACAGTAATAAGAATAATAAAATTCAAATATTAAACATAATATACTTCTAACCTTCTTCCTATGAGAAAAAAACCCCCATCTTTAATATTTTACTTTATTTCCTCTAGGTGAGGATGTTCAAGATCAAATATATGCTTATTACTTTCTTCTAAAAGGAACTATTTTTAAACTTTACTTTCTATTTCACATATTTCTTTATGATTTTCCACACAACTCAGCTATCTGACCGGGTCTGGGGAAAAAGGATACAGGCAAAGTGAGTGGTATTCCACTAGCTGTAACCATCCTATTAAGAGTGATAGTTCTATCATTTTACTATATCTCTTCCCACAAAACTATGCTTAAAATGTCATAACTGTCATTCCTCCTTAAAACAGACATGAAATACTGAACCACATTCAAATATTACCAGAGATGAGTAGCTTCTAAGCTACTAGCAAGCACGTATTTCTATGGGGAAATAAAATCATTTTTCAAATAACTGCTTTCCAAACCTCTTCACGAGTGAGCCGTCTGTCTGGGAGGAAGGGGGCCTCTCACCTGCTCTCAGCAGAAGCCGTCAGCCTTTGAGGCCGCGGGGAAAGGGGTTTCTCCGCTCTTCGAACTCGGCAAAGGCAGAGGCGATGAGCTCTGACTGCACAGAGAGGGGTCCGGGGGTCTCATTTGTAGAGAAAGTATTTGGAAACCTTTCAAGGTCAAGACCTCTTCCCTTAAAATACGCCTGAAGGGTTCTGAAAAACTGGACAGAGAAAGAACATGTTCCGTTGCCACATATAAATTAAACACCCAAACGACTCACAGGTGAATATTTCCCCCTGAATTGATTAGGGAGCTCACCTAGGAGGCAGGAGGCGGGAACTCAGGAGGAGAAGCACAAGCTTTGGCCACTTCTTCTGGCCCCACCCCGGCCCCACCCGCCTCCTCTCTGACATTCCAGCCCCACAGGAGCTCACTGGCCACCGTTCTTGGTGGAAATCCCGCAAGGAACAGCAATTACTTAACAGCACCCGTCAGAGGGGCCTTGTGAGCCATCTCCGCATGCCAAGGTCAGAGGTCACATTGAACCCACGGCCTGGTGCCCCCTCTCTAACTGAAAACAAGACCCCGCTCATCGCCTTCTGAAATCATTTTTGTCCGACATGGACTTTTCAGCTTTCCTTCGGGAAGCGGATAAACGCAGAGAAGCTGTGCACGGCGCCATTTGCTTGTTTGAATCCTATGTTGTTATATTTCACATGGGTGTGCACAGAAGACCACTTACGCAGGCATGTGCTCTGTGTGCTCACAGAAGCAGGTGTAGATCGGCTGCAGGAGCAACGGGAGGCCAGCTGCCAGGCCAGCAGAGCCCTGGTCTGGGCCCAGGGGCCTCCTCCCAGCCCGGGGGGTCTCCTCCCAGCCTGGGGGCCTCCTCCCAGCCTGGGGGCCTCCTCCCAGCCCGGGGGGCCTCCTTACCAGGTCTCGGTTTCGGGGGTTGCTGAGTGGCTTCCATGTGTCTGGGTTTCTCAGCGTGGCTCCGTGCACAGGCCCGAGGAGCGCCAGGGCCGCAGACAGCAGCAGGAACGCCTTGGGCATGGTGGACTGCGGCTGAGTGAGAGGAAGGATGAGGGGAAATGCAATGGTCACACTGAGGGAGGGAGGGAGGGAGGTAGAAAGGGAAGGAAGGAGGGAGAGAGAGAGAACAAATGCAGAATAAAAAAAGAGCCATTTTTAAAGGGAGACAAGGAAGAAGAAGTAGCATCCTGGTCCACCTGAATCTTACAGCCCTCTTCTTCTCCAGATTCACTGGCAAATAAGAATTCCAAATCCAGCTGATGAGCTTAGGGGGGTCCACCAAAGTGAGAACATTGTACAATGATAAGCAAAGTGATGATGAGCACAACCTCCCAAGTCTGAGCAGACCATTATATCTTTTTAAAAAATGCATCTTGATATCTCCAAAAAAAAAGTGAAATCTTACACAACAAACAAAAAAGCACCCCAAACCCATCTTAAAAACCCCGAAACTCAGCAATGCACTTTCCACACGGTAGGTTCACACCACACCAGATAAGTAAAGCTGGTCCCCCACCCCGAGGTGGGCAGTGGAAGGGAACCCCAGAGAAAGGGCTCAGACACTTACCGGAGTCCGGCTCGGCTGGCCTGGATGCTTACGCCGCCTACAGCCCACGGGGGATACGTGGCTGCTTATAACCGGGGTGGGCTGAAGGTGGGGGTCACTGACGTGAGCAAGGGAAGTTCAAACACAACGAGTCCATTTTCATCCACAGCACAAACACCCTTGAGAACCACATCTTCGAACTTCCCCGGGGATAAACAACTTGTCTTATAAATAGAACCACCACTGGCCATTTTGCATGGCTTTTATAACACAGGGCACTTCCAAACAGCCACGTGGCCTCTGCCTTTTATACTTGCCAGAGAAGGTGTATCATCCTGGGAATATGACGATGACTAGCCCACGTAATAGGATGCTCTTCTGCAGATAGCAGCTTTGGAAATTGAGAGCATTTTTTTCTTTACACAGAAAATTCTAGTGCAAGGGACAAAATTGCTCGTCATGAACGACACCTCATATCTCTTCTGAGAACCTCAGGAATCTTTACCCGTTTTAAACAGTGGCCTGGTTTCTCATAATACCCCCCCTCAAAATAGACTACAAGAGAGCACGTGTTGCATGGGAAAAAGAAAAATGACCATGCTTTCAGCACTGTCCTACTGAATAAACGTGATCACAGGAAAGGCGAGGGCTGAGAAATTGGACGTGATGGGCTGGGAAGTTGCTTGGTCCCCGTGACGCAAGGCATCCCGGACAAGCTTCTTGCTGAGAAGGCTGGTGATCTGAGCTGAAAACCAGAGTTCCTGGCTATTTCTCATCTTGACCTCGGGCAAGTCTCTATGACCTTCATTTGTTTACGTCTTTGTTCGTTTGTTCAACAAATTTTTATCGCACTGCCCAAGGCTTTGCGGATAAAATGATAAGTATAATAAACATAGGTACGGCCCTCATGGAACCGGCATGTTAGTGGGCAAGACAGACATGAACCACATCATTATTTAACAAAATACAAAGGGCGCTGATTTCTACGAGGAGGAACTGGGTGCTGCGAGAGTGGAACAGGGAGATCTGGTTCCATCTCGAGGGTCAGGGAAGGCCGCCGAGATGAAGTGACTTGACATCTGGCAGCAGCAGTTACCTAGGCAACCGAGGGTACACAGAGGGAGAAGAGCGGCACACAAGGTGAACAGCTGCGCTGGAGCCTGAGGCTGAACGTGAGTGAGGCCCTGGCCAGGTGGCCCCATTGGTGGGAGTGTCCTCACCAGAAGGGTGGCTTCCATTCCCAGAAAGTCAGTGAGCAAGCGGGGAGCAGAGGGCGCCAGGTGAGGTCAGTTCAAGCGGAGCTAAGAGGTAGGCAGAGTGTGATTTGTCCGCTGCAAGGTCATTGTGGTTGCAGTGGGGAGAGACACCAGGTAGAGAAGGGGGAGGGGGGGACCAGGCAGGATGAGGTGTTAAATTGGATGAGGAGGGGAGCATGGATGCAGAGATGTGGGTGGACCTGAGAGAGAGAAGAAGGTGTTGCTAACGTACTGGGCACTAGAGGAGGCAGAACTAAGAGGAAGAGAGTTTCAAAACCGCCTCTAGGTCTCAGGATCAGTGAACTCAGCCTCACTTCCTGAGACAGCAAACATGGGCCTGGGTGGGTGAAGGTCATGAGTTCCCTCCAGACGGATGTGTTGTGTTTGAGGAGCCACGTGGGATGGAGATACAGTTGGATACACAGCCTGGGGCTCAGAGGGGAGGTCTGGGAAGGAAATGTCAATATGGGAGTCATTGGCATATAAATGGGTAAGATTTCTTCAATAAAAGTTAGAAAATGAGAAGAAAAGGTGGTCTAGGGCTTGAGCTTTGAGACGTGTTAGCAGGTCACAGCCATCTATAGGGAGCTCTGCGAGGGAGACTCTGGAGGCAGAGGAAAACCAGGAGACAGACAGCAAGGGAAGGAAGTGTGTCGAGAAGGGGCGGATGGAGTAAAGGAGGACTCAGAGGGTCCTGGGAGCATCAGACTGCTGTGGTGGGTGGAGGGGAAGGTCAGATTAGAAGTGGGTGGATGGACAAGAGAGAGAGACAGCGAGTACAACAACCTCCCGAGAAGTTCAGCCGTGGGGAGACGGCGGGAGGTCAGCCGTGGGGAGACGGTGGGAGAAGGTC